AATTTGCGTCTAGGACGGAGCAAGGGGCTGCCCTCCTTCCCAGGGCGTCCAGCGCCCCGGAACTCCTGGGGGCGGCGCCCCCATAGGGGCTTTCCTTCTCTGGGGGCGATTGCCCTCTTTTCTGAGCGTTACTCTGGGCCCAGTGTCTCTGATCTACAGTCCGATCTCTCCGCGGGCCCCTGAGCGGGTTTTCAGGGGCCTCAGTGCCGGGAAGGAGACCCTCGGTCAGGAGCCGACTAGTGGTGGTGGAAACAGGAGTGACAGACAAGACACGCGTTCACTTTAGCCCCGTGGTCCCCGAGGAAGGGGTCGTGGTCTCTGGCCGAGAAGATAAGACAAAGCAAAGGAGACGCTGAGGCTGGCTGACTGCACAGCCCTGAGCGGGTCTGTTGTTGACGTCCAACAGGGAGAGAAGGCGAGAGCCCCTGAGGCCTAGAGCGTGTGCTCGGGTTTGCAAGTTACCAGGCCGCAGGGACACCCCTTTCACACGCAGAAAAAGCCTCTCTCACCCCAAGCGGGCGCCACCCTGGCCATAGACACGGGCTGAGAAACAAGCTTTCTTAAAAGACAGCGACAAAAAGAACTTTCCCGAGAGCTTGAAGACGTTCCAAGTTGGATAAAAAGCTGAGGCAGGCAGGGGTGGTTTGGGGACTCACCCTCGCAGCCTGGCAGGGGCGCACTCCACTCCCCGGAGGCGGTGCAGCGGGCAGCCTCGGGGCTGCTGGGCCTGTAGCCCTCCTCGCAGCTCACGGTGCAGGAGGCGTTGTAGCTGAAGCTGCCCCAGGGCTGGGTGCAGTCCAGGCGTCCGTGCTCAGGGGCGTGCTGGGCTGGGCAGGTCACCACTGGAAAGGGAAACCGAGTCAGTGCTGCCCTCTCTCAGCTCCTGTGGGAGGAGGGACCCTGGGAACAGCCGCTCCTGTGGGTTACAGGTTTCCTGAAAACGGCCGGTCTGCCTCCGGTCACAGAATCCCAGCCACAGCCCCCAGGAGGTCTATTCTCACGCTCATCTTGCAGCGAGGCAGCTGGGCCTCGGAGCGCAACTCCCAGCCGTGGTGCCAGATACATGGGGAATCTGGGGTTGAACCTGAAAGGTCCGGCTTCACAGGCTCAGCCCTTGCCCACCGACCCTGGGCACCACATGCCCCCCCGGGAAGCGGAGGCCTGCAGACCCGGCTCCAAGCCAGCGAGCTCGGCCGGCACTGCCGTCTCAGGGAGGGACAAGTGGCATCCGACTCACCCTGCTCGCACTGGAGGCCGCGGAAGCCAGGGTGGCACTGGCAAGTGTAGTTGTTGATGGTCTCCACGCAGTCGCCATGGCCGCTGCAGGATGTCGGGGTGCAGGCAGCTGCGGGCACACAGGCATGGCAAGGAGGGTCAACAGTGAGCACCACAGATGTCACCAATGACACGAGTGCCCGACGTTCTGACTGAGGCGCCTTCCCAGAGCGCCAGAGCTGAGCTCCAGGCTCACGGCTGAAACCTTGATGCCAGCACACGCGAGTCAGGGGGACGGCTGCTCCTGGCACCAAGACTAGGAAACTCACTGAATCACAAACTCGAAAGGTGGCTCCCCTGCCACCGGTAAACAAGGAGCCAAAACACGCCCCGTGCATGTGCATACACACCCTACACACATACAGACCTAGGCATGTAGCTATGGACACATGCATACATGGGTTCTTGCCTACATTCGCACAAAGAAGCAAAGAGATACTTTCTCAAGCAGCACACGTTAACACCAGATCTTTTAGAACATAAAATCATCGCCCTAGCCGGTTTGGTTCAGAGGGCTCCGTCCCCAGGAGGAGGCAGCCGATCAATTCTCTCTCATCATTGATGTTTCTATCTCTCTCTCCCTCTCCCTTCCTCTTTGAAATCAATAAAAATATATATGTTTTTAAATCACATAGAGACCAGTGTTTGCCTAGTGCCAGCAGTTTGTGCGAGGCCTCCCCCCACTGCCATGCCATGCCCACCTGTGTAGCACAGGGCGCCTCCCCCCACACCGTGCCCACCTGTGTAGCACAGGGCGCCTCCCCCCACACCGTGCCCACCTGTGTGGCT